CTATACAACACATTCATAGTCTTGGCATTCAAAGTGAGGTGAGTTCTATCATCACCAGTCAATTCATTTCTGGATTTTTATCTTGGTCTATGAGTGATTTCATCTATTATAGAGGTATCATATGAATTTTCATTAACAATAAATCACAGTTCAATATCAATAGATTATAAGAAAATAATCATTCTTTACTTCCAACTCACATAATTGGATCCATTAAATATTAGGGGTCTAGTGACAGATTGTCCTTAAAAAAATATGGCATTATTGGTTGTCATTTTACTCCAAAGTCGTTTGAGCTTAATCTCGAGAAGACTAAATTCTGATACCAATTATAAGGATCGAAAACAATCTAAGAGAGAGTGAAGTAGGTAATTTAAAAACTAATCAAATTATGAGACACTTTTTGGTTCAATATAAAATTTACCCTCTTTTCTAGATGACCACTCAATGGAACAAATTATAAGAAAGCAAGATTACTTGTGAGTGTGAGCAGTTTATATTTACAAGACAGTAAGTAATAGGGAAAGAATAGTAAACCAAATTTTAAACTCCTTTTGAAATTGAATATTACTTTGTAGAGCAAATTTCTTCAAATTAATCAAATACAATCAATTTTTGTGTACAAAAGAAGGGTCACTTCTTTCTTGCCCCAAGTTACACTTAGTCAAGCTAGGAAGTGTTACTATCATCGGATAACCCCCACAAAACTATATTATTGAAGTATTTTTCTCACACAAGAAAAGTTTATACCAAATTTACACAGCTAAGAGTACAAATCTTCTTGGAAGAGTATTTTCTCACTAAAACTACTCTTGATCTTTTCGTATTCTCAATGTGCAAAAATGTTTTGAAAGTAGTTGGCCATGCACTATTTATATGAGACCAAAAAGTGTCCTATTAATACTTCCAACGGATAGAAGGCAGATGAAGAGTCAACTAGTCGTTGGAAGTATCGGACGTCCAGTATATCCGATACTTGCGTCCGACAGCAGGCAATGAGCTTGTGGAAACTTCTTTAATTCTTTCGGACGCCCGGTGTCTCTGATACTTGCGTCCGAAAGCAGATGATAAATATGAGAAATTTTCTTCAATTCTTTCGGACTTCTTGTACCTCCAATGCTTTGCATCCGAAGTAACTCGTCGTTTATCGGACATCCGGTGCTCTAATGCTTTGCGTCCGATCGAGATCAGTGAGTTAGATGGAATGTCTTAATTCCTTCGGACGTCCGGTGGTGGAGTTTTTCATGCGTCCGAAGTTACGCAACGATTGTTGGACGTCCGGTCCTGTCTTCATGAGCGTCCGACAGTTTTCAGCAACCTTTGTCTCTTTCAATTACACTTGATTTTTGAATCTGATTTACTTCATGGCTGAAAGAATTTCTTGAAGAATATTAGTATCATCCATTTGTTTTGTAAACATTAAAAGTTAGGAACTAAAATTAACACTTTCTGATGTCAGGTAGGAGGTAGACCTTATCATTCCTTCTCTAGGTACAAGTACTATAAATATTCATCTAATACTTCCAAATGAAGTACGCAGTCTAACTTGTATATTAAACTCTTGAACCTTAACTAACTTTAGTACTGGAGTGAAATCGGGGGACAAGACCCCAGCTACTTGATTTTTGGTAGGCTCGTGCGTTTTCGACTAGGCTCATTTGGCCAGAATTCACCTCATCACTATACATGTGATCAATTCCTTTAATGTTTTCAATTGCCCATTAAAATTCCTATATTGGTTTTATTTTAAAAAGATGAGGATTAAATTGGTAAGACTAGTACATAAGATACCACATCAGCCAACACCATAAAGTTACAAACACCCTAAAGTTATGAGACCAAAAAGGTCACTTTTCTTTTTTTCCTTAAAAGAAGCAGACATTTTTTGCACTTGTGAAGGGTATAGAGATTCTACTGAATTTTGTGAAATTGGAAATTTAAACGTAAAATAATGAGTTTTGCATTATTCTTGTAGTTAGTAATGTTGTGCTACACTTTTTCCAAAAAATGTAGAATTCATAAAATACCAAGATATGCTTCATGCTAAATGCAAATAGTGATAAAACTCTTTGTAGTATCATAATTTAAAAATTATAACTTCTTGAAATCAATTTAGCCAAACATATGAACTAATTAATTGAAAAACACCATTATTGTGCTGCTAGAATTTAACACTTGTTCAAAACTAAGAAAGAAACTCTAGGTTTGTTTGGATAGAGTGTTATTTGAAATATTATTTAAAATAATTATTATAGAATTTTTTGTGATGTAATGTATGTGAGATAAAAAAATTGCTGAAAATATAAAAATGTGAGTTGAAAAATATGTTTATGATACAAGCGAAATATTATTCGAAAAAAATTGATATCCAAACAAACCGTCTATTTTCGAAAACAAGTTTAGCTTAAATTTCTCTTGCATGAATACTATACAAAGATGAAGATATCAAGAAAATGAAGACAATTAAAGAAAATCTTAATGACATGGTTAAGGTAAAAAAAATGTAGCCATCTTATAAGGGTATGTATTTTTGCCCATTAGTTTTTTGTACAAAAATATTTTGCAAATGACAATTTTTGTTATTCATCATGCACACATAAAGCAAACAAGTACACTACAAATTTACTAAGTTCTACACTAGTTTTTAAACCATATTCAATAGAAAATCTAATTGTTGATAGATAGTTTGTGTTGGACACAGTGAATTAATCTATATTGGTTTTTTTGGATAAGTTTGTCTAACTAAGTCATAGTTTCCCTACAAACTAGGAATTTAGAAATTTGAATTAAAGAAACAGGTAACCAATATAAAAACAACTAAATTCACTTTTACCACGAAACTAGTATTTAGCACATACATTAGCATGAAATATTTTTATTGTTATTAGTTATGAATCAATGCAAACCATAAATAATACATCAATAATGACATATCATTCATACTTACATCAAAAAATTATTAGGTTTGTTTGGATACCTCATTTTTCCAAATAATACTTCGTTTGTATCATAAACACATTTTCCAACCCACCTTTTTATATTCCTAATCACCATTTCAACTCAAATACATCACATCACAAAAAATATTACAGTAATTATTCCAAATAATATTTCAAATAACACTCTATCCAAATAGACCCATTGTATTCCAAATATTTAATTATCATGTTAGTCTTTAAAGACTAATAGTTATTACGGTGTTTGTCAAAAAAATATTAGCCTTTAAAAACTTTTGCACATGAATTTGTTATAATGTGATAATACTCATTGACTATTATAATATATAAAAAAAGAAATAAAAAGAATTAGAAGTTTTGGATTCAAATTCTCTTGTCCTCCATTTCTTAAATCCCATCAATCCCTTGCTAGAAAAATTAAAAAATAAAAAGCTATTCTTTGAAATAGTGATTGAATTCTATCATGAATATGATGAAAAATTTTCTTTTTTGTTCCCAACACAATTTAACTCATTCTCAACCTTATCCCAAGCTAGAGTTTTTAATGAGGTGAATCAAGTCGAATACCTGGTGTTCAATATCTATTCATATAATATATGAACAAGGTTCGAACTTAATGAATATTAAATGAGCTATAAACATTGCTCAAATTCGAATTAGGCTTGTTTACGAGTCGAATTCGAGCTCTAAAATGATTAATTATATTTTATAATAATAATACATAAATTAGAATGAATTAATTATATTCTTTGTTTTAGAAAATAAATAATACTAATTTTATGTATAATTACTTTTTAAAGGAAAATATGAGGTATATATATACATATATTTAGTAATATTATATGTATTTATACTTGTTTTTACTTATAATTATATATGTATTCACAAACCTATTTGAATAGTTTGTTAACAATTTCGTGTTTGACTTGATTATTAAACGAATCTAATTTGTATTTGAGTTCGATTCATTTATTATACAATCGAATAATTTTTGAACTCAAACAAGCCGAAAACAAACTTGTTCACAAACAGTTTGGTTCGTTAAAAACTTTAAGCCAAGTTTCAACCATATCAACAACAATTGACCCCCAATTCATAGCAAAGCATCAAAACATGAAATTTTAGAAAGTCAACATGAATACCAACTAAAAACAACTCCAAAATTCTAAAATATAAGATATCCAACCAAGACTTTAATTTCATCAAAACCCAAGTCAATAATTTAACCAAAGCATAATGTCCAATGTGAATACCATCAGTGTTGGAATGTTATTAATTTAAGAAGTACTCTATCGTATTTAAGAAGTACTCAATGTGATAGTTTTATGCTATCCTCAGATTCAGTACTTAGTATTAAAATTTTAAGTCACTAAATAGTCAAACTCAATCATGCTGCACCATACATGCTGCTGATGAACTTTTGTTACTACTGTGCATTTATCCTTTAGAGCTTATACAGCTGTAGAGCTAAGAAGGAAACTGCTGGGGGAAGGAATTTCCAGTTGGGGTGGTTGATGCAGTGATGACTTTCAGGACAGGTGCATAACTTTAAATTCCTATCTGAAGCTGGATGGGACAACATGAGAGCAACTCATCACTCATTATCCTGTATTGGGTCACAAATCCACCGAATTAACTGCATAAAACATGACCCCACTGCTATAAAATATTACAAGAAAGATCGGGTCTTGTGCCTTCCCACTTAAACATACGTTAAGGGACATCACGGGTTCATTCCAAAACATGAAGTAATAGAATTCTAAGAGACGTGCAATCAGGTAACATTTACTAAGAACTAGAGAAAAGAGCTAGAGATAAGAGTTAGTCTAACAAAACAAGGTTTGTTTGGATTGAGGATTATTTGCCAAAATTTATTTGCTTACTTCATCATTATAATTTCCAATACAGCTTTTTACATTCTCAATTACTTTTTTATCTCACATACATCACATCACAAAAAGTGCTACAGTAAAAATATCTCAAATAATTTACAATCCAAACAGAGCCTATCTCTAGTCTGCCGAAACAAAATATCTCTAGTCTATGGTAAGAATCCTAATTAACTCCTCCGGTGGCTCTACATTTCGGCTGGGGGGCTTGGAAGCTCGGACCTGGACTTTGGCTTGGGCTTCTCCATTGGGCTGCTGCTCGGACCCTTTAACGTATCATCCTCTTTATGTCCATAGTAAGAGGGCTCGAATGGAACACCTCCAAACTCAATCTAATGGTTACAAGCGTGAGAGTGGAGTCTTGATTTCTCAAACAGGTTCCCACATTTAGCGCACTCAGCCAATTTTTCCAAATTTTTCTTTGACCCCTTCTTTTCCGAACCGTAATGTTCGTCAAGAACTCGCATATGCCTCCTGGACAGATCAATGAAATAATGCCGTTTCAGTTTCTCCAGAGACGGAGAACACTGAAATCGACAGTGATAACACTGAAATACCTGCAAAACAACAAATATTAAAAATTTATTAGAAATTTATTTTTCTATTATAAAAATAATTAAAAACAATCAAATACAAGTTACCCTTTTTCCAGCTTCCTCTTTTTTTTTCATTTTTGGATTCTTGTTCGCTTCTCTAAAGATCAGTGGGTTTGTTTGGATAGAGGATTATTTGTCAAAATTTATTTGCTTACATCATTATTACAATTTCCAACACACCTTTTTATCTTTCCAATTACTTTTTTATCTCACATACATCACATCACAAAAAGTGCTACAGTAAAAATATCTCAAATAATTTACAATCCAAACAGAGCCACTTTCAGCCTTCTTCAGCCTTTCCCTACAAATAACACAGCCAAAAAGTAACGGTGATGTAAGCAAATATATTTGGACAAATAACTTACAATCCAAACACACTCTTTTCTTTTTTCTTGTTCAAGCAGCAGAGAAGATATGTGCATTCGGTATTCAAAAAGACATGCATCCTGGTTTTCAGCATCAATTGCTATTGCCAAATTCCTCTTTTAGATTTTACAGGCTGCGCTTAATTTGTTGAGCTAAACTTGCAAGTTATGTATAGTCCGCATCATAAAAAAAGTAATAAGAAACTAAGGCCTAAAAGTAACTCAATATCGTTCTATTGATTTTATGTCCACCCTGGATCATTTTGCTCCTCTTTTTTCTTGGTAAACTTTTCTTGCCCCCCAACAATAAAGGGGGGACATGACAGTATAATGATCAAGCACAACAATTATGATATTAACAACAAAATTTTTAGTGTATCAAAAATATCATGTATCATGATACTATAAGCACGTGCAAAGCATGTGACCCATTATTATTTGCTTTTATTATAAGTATGCAAATTATCATTTGCTATTTAAAATTACCAAAATACCTAGGATAAAATCAAATTAAGAAATCGTAGATAGGTTAGTCAGAAATCCAAGATAAGTTTAAGTTTTTTAATTCCATAACTTATAAAATTGAAAAAGTGACTACTTAACGAATGAAGAAAATCGTCTAATTAATGGCTTATAATGATGATTGTTGATTGATGACAACGGTGAGAATGAGAACAATTATAATGGTGGGTGATAAAAATGATAACTTTACAAACGGCATTGATGACAATGGCCACGATTACTCCTGACTTGAGATATAACTTTTAATTAAAGAAGTGAAGTGATTATAAGAGTAAAAGGAATGAGTGAGGGCTTTGATAAAACAAGAAAAATGAAGAACTTTTAGAAGTGAAATACCCTTTAGGCCCCTATTGTGTCTTTAGCAAGATTTTTGATAAAAATTGTTGATTGACTCAAAAATTGACTCAGTCAAGACTCACTGATTCAATAAAATGATCCCCTTGACTTGAAAATTGACATCATAAAGATATCGTATATTAATTTAACATTCCAACACTGATAAAGATATCGTATATTAATTTAATATTCCAACACTGATAAAGATATCGTATATTAATTTAACATTCCAACACTTCACAATCACAGCACCTGGGGACAGTCCCAACACTGATGGTATTCACATTGGACATTCCACTGGAGTAGTCATCACAGATTCAAACATAAGAACCGGGGACGATTGCATCTCAATTGGTGATGGTGCCAAACAAGTTAACATAAGCAAAGTGACATGTGGACCTGGCCACGGAATCAGTGTTGGAAGTCTTGGAAGGTATGACAATGAACTGCCTGTTGAGGGTATCTTTGTTACCGACTGCACCATCTCCAATCCTTTAAATGATGTAAGAGTAAAGAACTGGCTAGCTTCTAAAAGTGGCAGTGCCACCAATATGCACTTTGAAGGTATTATCTGTAAGAATCGAAAACAACCTAAGAGGGGGGGTAAATTAGGTGATTTAAAAAAATCGATCAAGATATGAGTCACTTTTTGAGAACTTGCCCTCTTTTTTTAAAAGACCGCACAATGGAGCAATTGATGAAAAAGCACAAGTGCTTGAGAGTAGAAGAGATAAACAATTTATATTGCAAGACAGTAACCAAATTTCAAACTCCACTTGAATTTGAAAATTACTTTATATAGCAAGTTTCTTTAAGTTAATCAACTTACAACCAATCTCTTGTGTACAAAGGAAGGATCACTTTCTCCTCGCCCCAAACCGTACTTGGTCAAGTAAGAAAGTTTTACTATCACTCGAATAACTCTCACAAAATTACACTATTGAAAAAATAGAAACACACTTGAAAAACTTATCGAAAATTACACAACTAAGAGTACAAATTTTCTTTAAAGAATATTCTAACATTTTAATCACTCAAGATCTGATGTAGTCTCAATGTGCAAAAGCTATTTGAAATTTCTGACCATGCCCTATTTATAGGAGACCAAAAAAATGCTTCATTAATGTTTCCAACAGATAGAAAGTAGTTGAAGAGTCAACAAGCCGTTGGAGTATCGGACGTCCGGTAGTCTAAAAATATTTCCTATTCCAGATAGAAAAAATTCAAATATAGTCAGCCATTCAAAATGTATAATAAAGAAAGTTTGTTCTCCCAATGAATGGACTTCTCTTTATTCTAAAAAATCCTTTTCAGTAAGATTCATTCCAGATGAATTTACATATCAAGATTACAAAATGGCATGGTATCGTGCTTTCCTTTTTAAACCATTCAATCATTCCTGGTTCTTCACATTCAAAGAAAGTTGCAGTAGAGAATTTCCAATTTCGTTTAATGACATGGATCGTGAATTGATGGCCCAAAGAACAGATCGAGAATATACCAATTATTTGAGAGCTCAAAGAGATTCTCCCAAACTCCAAAACAAAGAAAAAGTTATCCGATCCAGAGGTTATCAATACTTTGTTCAAACTAGCCATGGTAGGCAAAGTATTCCAACCTATCAAATTCCTAAACATGATACAATATACATTCAAAAAAGCCCTTAAGCTACGATTACTCCACAAGAAAGAGCTTTTATTATTCAAAGAGAGATTCAGCGAAATACTATCCGAATTCAAGTCCTGAGAAGAGTTGAAAGAAATGAAGAATTTATTCAGTACTACAAAGAACAAAATAAGCAATTATCTGACCAGCTTAAACATATTGTTTATTAATATTGCAGGAATATGGATTCAAAAGCAGGAAATTTCAGGCCAAAAACTCCTCAAGATTATGAGATGAGTCTAACTCCTGTAACCCAAAATAGATTCCAAATATTGCAGGATTTCCCAGCCTTGACATATAGTCAAGCTGCCTGCACTCCCACTTCTTCTCAAATAAAACCTCTTCAACAAATTCCAAAACCCTCAGAAAAATTCAATGAAAATACCTATTTCACCAAGCCATTTACTCAACATATTGCTCTAACCAGATTTCAAGAAGTACCTTTATACTCTACCCTCAATCAAATTACCCAAAGAATCTTTCCTCAAAAATGCTATTGGCAACCAGATGATTCCTCAAAAAATTTGGATTACTATGAATTAATTCTTACACATACCCAATCTGTTGAAATATTTCCTATTCCAGATAGAAAAAATCCAAATATAGTCAGCCATTCAAAATGTATAATAAAGAAAGTTTGTTCTTCCAATGAATTGACTTTTCTTTATTCTAAAAAATCCTTTTCAGTAAGATTCATTCCAGATGGATTTACATATCAAGATTACAAAATGGCATGATATCGTGTTTTCCTTTTTAGACCATTCAATCATTCCTGGTTCTTCACATTCAAAGAAAGTTGCAGTAGAGAATTTCCAATTTGGTTCAATCATTGGTGGAAATGGTTTGGACCACAACCAGAAATTCTACCTCCAAACGTGCTCATGGGATTTCAGACATACCTAAAAAGAGCAAAGGGGGAAGAATATACAAGGCCAATTTTATTTCATATGGAGTTCAAAGTTCCATGGATCTTTTGCTGAAGTTTTAAGATCCATCAAGAATTAGAAAAACCACTTCCAATGTCATTGGTCAGAGAATTCAAAATTAAATGGTGGACAGGATTCAATCAGGAATTTGGAGATCAAGTAAACGTCATCAGATTCCTAACAACCGGGGACAAACTCAAGTGGACCAAACAGCTACCTACTCCAACTACTACGGTACCTACTACAACAACTTCTCCACCTACTCCAACCACTATGGCACCTACCCCAACAATTACTCCAATAAAGAAAGAAAAAGAAAAAGATACTGAGATGGTATCCGAGGCAAGTTCAAATGACTTTCTGATGAAAAAGATGATTCAAGATCCAAGACTACTCAAAGAATATTTGGACTATTTGCAAAAGCAGGATACGAAAGAAGAAACCAACAAAATTGACGAGTCAGCAGAATCATCCGAATCTACTTTCGATCCTTTCGGAGGACCATGCGGACAAGATCCAAATGACTTTTGAAAAAGATGTCGGCCACAAATAAAGTGTCGACCCAAAAGACAAATGAAATTCAAATGAAGATGAAATGAGAAGTCCCGAGCCTCTATAAATAGAATCAAAATTCAGAAGAAAGGCATCGGCGAACACTACGAGATTAGATCAGTGAAAACTCTCCCTATTTTGTAATTCAACCAACCTCTTTTCAAGTTCAACCACTCTTTTGTATTCAAGTCTCTTAACTTTCAATATTCAATATAGAAGATTCAAGGTTTCTACAATACAAGCTTCCGTTGTCTACTCAATATTCTTGTAAGTCTATTTACACTAAATGTATTACTTTTCTATGCAATCATCAATAGAAAGCAGCCTGGGTAGAAGTGGTATCAGAGCCACATTACGACTGCATATTTAGACTTTGAATTTATTACTTTATTTGAATTACGTTTCTATTTCTAATAAAGAGAAGTCCATTCATTGGGAGAACAAACTTTCTTTATTATACATTTTGAATGGCTGACTATATTTGGATTTTTTCTATCTGGAATAGGAAATATTTCAACAGATTGAGTATCTGTAAGAATTAATTCATAGTAATCCAAATTTTTTGAGGAATCATCTGGTTGCCAATTGCATTTTTGAGGAAAGATTCTTTGGGTAATTTGATTGAGGGTAGAGTATAAAGGTATTTCTTGAAATCTGATTAGAGTAATATGTTGAGTAAATGGCTTGGTGAAATAGGTATTTTCATTGAATTTTTCTGAGGGTTTTGGAATTTGTTGAAGAGGTTTTATTTGAGAAGAAATGGGAGTGCAGGCAGCTTGACTATATGTCAAGGCTGGGAAATCCTGCAATATTTGGAATCTATTTTGGGTTACAGGAGTTGGACTCATCTCATAATCTTGAGGAGTCTTTGGCCTGGAATTTCCTGCTTTTGAATCCATATTCCTGCAATATTAATAAACAATATCTTTAAGCTGGTCAGATAATTGCTTATTTTGTTCTTTGTAGTACTGAATAAATTCTTCATTTCTTTCAACTCTTCTCAGGACTTGAATTCGGATAGTATTTCGTTGAATCTCTCTTTGAATAATAAAAGCTCTTTCTTGTGGGGTAATCGTAGCATAAGAGCTTTTTTGAATGTATATTGTATCATGTTTAGGAATTTGATAGGCTGGAATACTTTGCCTACCATGGCTAGTTTGAACAAAGTATTGATAACCTCTGGATCGGATAACTTTTTCTTTGTTTTGGAGTTTGGGAGAATCTCTTTGAGCTCTCAAATAATTGGTATATTCTCGATCTGTTCTTTGGGCCATCAATTCACGATCCATGTCCTTGTAAGAATTCTCTAGTAAGAAAATCTGGTAATGAATTATTTTCTCCTTTAATGAATTCTATATCAAAATTAAAAACGGATAAAATAGCTTGCCATCTAGCAAATATTTGTTTTGAAACTATATTTTGAACATCTTTTTGTAAAATCTCTTTTGCAGATTTACAGTCTATTCTTATTAAAAATTTCTTGTTATATAAATCATCTTAAAATTTTGATATACATAAAACTATTGATAAAATTTCTTTTTTAATAGTTGAATAATTCTTTTGAGAATCAGACCAGGTTCCTGAATGAAATCTAACTAACTCTTCTTCTTCCTGAATGTACAGAACGACACCTCATGTTTTGAACTAAATTGTAAAACCGACGAAATCAAGTAAACTTAATGAAAATTGATGAAATCACAAAATTGCCCTCATATATCTAAGTAAAACACAGTTCAACGGAATCATTTATTTCATTGTTTCAAATCCTACGAAGAGAGAGAGAGAGAGGAGCATCTGTAGAGAGAGACAGCGAGAGAGAAGCCAAATCGATTGGCTTTGTGCAGTTTTTGATCTGAATCAAGCAAGAGGAGCGAAGGAAAAGACAATGAGACTAAGATTTCTTCCATAAAATCGAAGGCAAATGGGTATGTATGCTATAAATCGTTCATGTTAGTTAGGGTTTAGGGTTACCTATCTCAGATTTTTGCTGATTTCATTTAAATTCTTTGGACCGATGATGTTATTTACTTAAATAAGATGCTATGTTTGGTTGTTGACCATACAAAAATGCTAATTTTGTGAGTTTTGGGACTGCTACTTTGGATTTAAAGTCGAGAATTTTGCTAATTTGATTTTCAATATTTAAAGATTGTTTTAATTTTATTCCAGTTTTCGGAAGATTTCTTAGTGTTTGCGTATGACTCTACTAATGGGTGATTATTTATGTTGACTAGGAATCATGCAAATAATTTGTGAAAGTTCCATTTGTCATAGGTTCTATTTGTATTTAAGTATAACTCAAATAATTGTCACAACTAGATATATAACAAAGAGTTGTATGCATCACGTGTAAATTTCTATACTTGTCATTGTCATGTGAGATAGTGGTTTTAGTGGTGCAGAAAAGATTAGCTATTAAAATTGAATGTGTTTATGCTTTTCTGTTTATTTGGCTTTATGTATATCAATGACCGAGACATATTAGGTGGGGGACTAAAACATGTTTGTTATATACCTTGAAATATTCAACAGAAGAAGACAACTCAAAGGAAAAAGTAGACATACTTATGTATTTTGATGGGAGTTTTAGAAAATATCCAATCCTCCACTATACAGGAACCCATATGGCTGTCTGTAAAGATAGAGTTGAAGACGAGATCTCCATAGTTGACCTTTGCAGAATGTTTAAAAAAGTGGACGAGCAAGCAACTAGAGTGACCTTTTGGTTTTGTACCCCAAATGTTGACTTAGATGGTGGCCTACATCCAATTAGGGACAATGATGATGTTAAATTGATGAATAAATCACATTGGGGTATGGCAACAAGAATAATTTATGTCTGCAGTGGGGATGATCCTTTTGAAAAGTCACTTGAACATGGTGGGGACAATTTGGTGGAGCCAAATTTGACAAAGGCTGCCTCAATATTAAAAAATAAATGTGCAGACATCAATGATGGTGGGGTACATAACACCAAAACATTTAAAAGACTTCAGAAAAGAAAGAAAATAGGGTTAGTAACACCACTCCAAAGAAAACAAATTATGCTGATGATAAGGATCCTGAATGGCTGAAGGAGGGGTTGGAGACAATAGAGGATGAGGATAGCTTTGCAGCTAAGAAAGATGTAGATAAATGCAACAAACCAAAAGGCGAATCCATATTACATTCCACCTATTTTCAACCTTATCATGTGTTTTCTTTTCCTGCAAAGGTAGCTATGAAAAGCCCTGCCAAAAGTGAAACTGATAAGAAAAAGAAGTTCAGCAAAAGTACGAAGTAGTCTAGAGGGCTCGATACCATTGGAGAAATTCGACCTCACATCTCTTCTCAAATTTCATCTCAGACTCCATCTCAAGCATCATACCAACACCCATCTCAGATTTCATCGCAAGTTGAAGAACTGAACAGTGAAAATAATGAGGGAAAATCAAAAGCAGAAGGAGCACCACATATACAAGAAGAGGATTGGCAGGAACTAATAGTTTCTGATGAAGAGCTGCTAGACAAGTGCAGATCTGATTGTGAAGTCCAGCAAGGAAGATTGCTTGAGATGTGAAGTCTAGTAGAGAAAATTACTTGAGAACTTATGAGCATACTATCACACTTGTCCCAAGTGATAACTACTGGGTAAGATGTGAATAACAACCCCCAAATCCTCCAGTAGTTCGAAGATTTCCTGGTAGACCCAAAGGTCCAACAAAGAGCAGCTGATGAGACCGAAAAGGGTCAAGTTCAACTAGGAAGGATCTTATGATA